CAGGATGATAGACACCTCCACACCCAGCTTTAAGATGTTTAGCATCGGTTATATAATCACAGTTCGCTCCATCAAGTAGAACAAGATTTCTGATGTTGGGTTCGTAGACCCAAAACAGCTTAGTGGGGAGGTAGAGACAAAACCAAAAACAGAGGCCCAGAGAGATGGCTCAGAGGTTAAGAGCACTGGCTGCTCTTCCAGAGGTCCTGAGTTCAATTCCCAGCAACCACATGGTGGCTCACAGCCATCTGTAATGAGATCCGGTGCCCTCTTCTGGCCTGCGGGAGTACACGCAGGCAGAACATTGTATACATAATAAATAAATAAATCTTTTAAAAAAGAAAAGAAAAGTGGTCCTCCCAGGGTCTTCCTTATAAGGGGAGATGGGGAGGCAGAATAGCAAAGAAATGCCTAATTCGTATCAGCCTATTCCAGATTGCCTTTGCAGCAGTCCAAGGTAGAGGGGATTTCATGGCTGTGTCTATTGAAAAAACTGACTTTCACCTCTCATGTCTCCCACAGAAAATCAGACAAATGGCTGTCTGCTTGGTAGCTGAAACTTTGGCATAGATGACTCTGCTGGGACCAGTGCAAGAGTCTGGTCCCCAACAGTGACTTCCTGTGATGTCTATCCAGCAGTGGTCACAAGACCACATGTACGGAAGGAGGAACCGTACCATTACCAGAAAGATGGAAGGCCAAGAGGATGTACCAACACGGGCTGAGGTGGCCAGAGATTGAAGCCAGGATACAAGTCAGCTGTGTCCTCTATCAGGACACTCTCAAGGACTTCTCTTGGTGGTACACAGATGTGACACCAATTATGACAATGACTCTGAACAACTTTTCACAATGTGAATCAATGCCACTTGCCATCCGGTCCCTGTACATGACATTTCTCAATCACTGTGAATTCCACCACACGGGGGCCTCACACGGAGAGCCAGGAGTGCTTTCAGAAGCAGCACCAGTGAGATCAAGGCCTCCTTTAGGATTAAAAAATGAGACACGTTTTCTTCAGTTTGCCAACACTGTATACATCTTTGCGCTCTCTAGAAAATGTTTCATTAGACCTAGCTCTTCTTCGGGTCTTAGAGGGAGCCTTTAACTGAGGTAGAGTCAGAGGGTGTTGCCACAGCTGCTCATTTAGGCCAACATGGAAATCGCTCGCTTGCTCTAACATCAGCTCGTGGACACTGTGCTATCGGGCACCTTCCTCCGTCAGAAGGCCCTCTGCCAACCGTCTCTCTCGCCAGCTTGGCTCTGAAAGTGCTGAGCTAAATGCAGCATGAAGGTGGATGCTCGCAGTGCTCCCTCCCTACTCTTACAAGCACCCCCCATGAGCCGTGCTTGGCTTTGGAGGGTGACGTGGTGTATTCCGTCCTGCGGGACACATTCTGTGGGTTGTCATTGCACACAGTGACCTGGCTCCATGATGATATGTGTAGAGAAGGTACATTCCTTCCCACTGCCCTGGATTGACCCATTTGTTCTCTGTCCAGCTGAAGGACATTTAGGTTGTGGTCTTGTGAATCAGCTCTGCAGTGAGTACTTGGGGCAGATCCCTCTGCCTGTGAGGGGCTCTCTAGGCTATGCAGACATGGAATTTTGAGGCTGGGAGATAAAATTTGAATTCTGCTAAATGTGCCCTCCTTCTTGGCTCATCTGTGAAGGTCAATCTTGTCAACCTGATGGGGTTGGGAATGACCACAGAAACAAACCTCTGGGCATGTCTGTGAGGCAGTGTCTGGATTGGGTTAGCTGGAGTAGGAGACCCACCCTAATGCGGGCAGCACATCCCAGGGCCTGAGGTCCCAGACTGAAGGGGAGAACTTGAGTTAAGCACCCACATTCACAATTCTTGCTTCCTGTGGCCGAAATGTGACCAGCTGCCTCACCCTGCTGCCGTGTCTCCCCTGCATAATGAACTATAACCCTGGAACTGTGAGCCATGTAAACCGTTCCTTAAGTTTTCTCAGACCTTTTGTCTCAGCAACGAGACACCATGTTTCCCTCTACACTTGCTAATTTCTCTCATTTGATGAGCTGATTGCCTTAATCTGCATCTCTGATGACTCAGAATAATGAGCATGCCCTCAGTTTTCTTTCCTGTGTCGTTTCTTCAGTCACGAGGACCCTGTGTGTTTCAGCCAGATCATGAGCTCCTGGAGGGAGGGGTTGGGCTAGCCTGGGATGGTGTGGCACTCTGGGGCTCAGTCCCTTCAGGTGTAGACAGTCTGCTGTCCCTCTCTCTCCTCCATGGAGCTCTGCTCCAAGCTTCATTTGCCACATCCGTCTTCCCAAATATTCCTCGCTAGGGATTCATACACAACATGATGTTCTGAATGCTGAGCCCCTTCTGGTCCACCTGAGTGCACCCAAACTTGTTCTGAGGCTCAGCCTCTACTGTGAAGTCTCCCATCTGACCAGAGGCCCCACCCCGTTCCTTCTGTGGCTGTTACCATATTCTCCTCCATGGCCCCACAGGGGTCTCACTGTATGCACTTACAGATTCATCTCTTTGCCCAACAGACAGTTGCCATGGCTTATCCACCACTGGTGGATGGTCATTGGTCAGGATGGATGTTCAGTCCATGTTGGCCAGGTGGGCAGATGAACTTCAGAAGCAGCTTCCCATCAATTCTCTGCAGACCATGATGCCCTATAAGGACTACATTGCATATTGCTGTCCTCAGTGGCACCTTTAGTGATGCTGCAGTATGATTATCTGATGGAGATGAAGTGCCTTTGGAGATGAGGATATATTTTGGTTGGTAGAGTGCTTGCCTTGAATGCACAAATTGCTTACCCACAGTGCCAGCACCAGGAGGTACAAGCAAGAAGATCATAAGTCAAGATACTCCAGGCTATATAGTTAGTCTGAAGCCAGCCTGGGACATGAGACCCTATCTAAAAGACAGAGGAGGAGGAAAAAAAGGGAAAGGAGGAGATAATAGAAGAAAAAGAAGGAAGAGGATGAGGAAGGAGGAGGGGGAGGAGGAAGGAAGAGGAGAAAGAAGAAGAAGAGGAGGAGGAGGAGGAGGAGGAGGAGGAGGAGGAGGAGGAGGAGGAGAAGGAAATGGTTATTATCAGTACAGCCTTGTGTAATTTCCTTGGCCTCTCCGCACCTTCCTCCTCTCTTTCTTGAAGAAATAACAGCTGAGGACAGGCATCACAGAAGTGAGGCTGTGTGTGGAAAACCCTGGGCATATAGTAGCTACTCCTTAAAGATGGGGTCCAGCTTTCCAGCCCCAAAGACAAACCTTGCATAAACTAAGTACCCCAGAGAAAGACTGAGCTGAACTTGGCGAGGCCTTGCATACACTTAGCTCAGTAAATGTGGGGTGACACTGGGTGTGCTTCCCTGAATTGCACCCCCTTCTAGGTGGCCTCCCAACACTTCCCTGGTTTGGAGGAGCTGAGGCTGGGGAGAGGAAGCCCACAGTATGCCCCCTTCTGCCAGTGACCTTAATGCTTCCTTCCTTTTGCTTCAGTTTGTCCACAGTCGGCTGACTGCCATGATAGACTGGCATTTTAGCCGTCTCCAAAGGTGCCCCTTGAAGTACACTAGTGTCTGTGGAGTCTCCTCTCACAGTCTGACCTTGACCATGTGTTCTTGAACCAAGGCCACGGGGACATTAACCACCCAGCGTAACATTTGCTAAACCATTGTACACTAACTCTGTCCCCCTTGGACCTTCCGTAGACACCAGTCACCATGCCATGGAGAAGTCCAAGTAAACATGGAGAGTTCCTGTGGAGAGATGACAGAACTGCCTGTGGTACCCACCTCAAGTGTGTTATCCATCCGTCCCACTTGTATCTAGACCAGCGGTTCTCAACCTTCCTAATGCTCAGACCCTTTAACACGGTTCCTCATATTGAGCTGACCCCAACCACAAAATTTTTGTTGCTACTTCATAAGTAACTTTGATACTGTTATGAATTTTAATATAAATATCCATATTTTCCAACGGTCTTAGGCGATCCCTGTGAAAGGGTCGTTTGACTCCCTCTTCCCCCGCCAAGGGGTCACAATCCACGGGTTGAGAACCACTGATCTAGACCATCTGTACTGTCCTCTTCAGCTTCGGTCGTGGTCCCAGTTGTAGTGTTCTTCCCACTGTGGTACCCATCCTACTTGTGGCATTCATGATGGCACAGGTACTCATCCAAGCTGGGGTGCTTATCTCAGCTGTGGTAACCATCTTTATTGACATATTCATATTTAATAATTACAATGATCATCCCAGCTGTGGTACCCATCCCAGCTGCAGGACTCCTCCCAGCTGTGGTTCCCATCCCAGCTGCAGGACTCCTCCCAGCTGTGGTACCCATCCCAGCTGCAGGACTCCTCCCAGCTGCAGGACTCATCCCAGCTGCAGGACTCCTCCCAGCTGTGGTACCCATCCCAGCTGCAGGACTCATCCCAGCTGTGGTTCCCATCCCAGCTGCAGGACTCCTCCCAGCTGTGGTACCCATCCCAGCTGCAGGACTCCTCCCAGCTGTGGTACCCATCCCAGCTGCAGGACTCCTCCCAGCTATGGTTCCCATCCCAGCTGCAGGACTCCTCCCAGCTGTGGTACTCATCCCAGCTGCAGGACTCCTCCCAGCTGTGGTACCCATCCCAGCTGCAGGACTCCTCCCAGCTGTGGTACTCATCCCAGCTGCAATGTTCATCTCATCTTACCTTCCCAACTATAGTGTCATGCCAGCTATGGTACTATCTCAGATGCAGTACCCATTCCATCTGTGGCATCCTTCCCATCTGTGGTACCCTTCCCAATTGTGGTACCATCTCAAGCTGTGACAATCAACCCAGCAGTAGTACCCATCCCTACTGTGGTCCAGAACTGGGTGGCTTCTTCAAGGTCCAGGAAGACAGACTGTGCTGAGCTGCCCACAGTTCCTCTGGTTTTCAAATGTCTGCCAAGGTGGTCTGCAATGGCTTCCTGACTCTTCATTCAGTGTGTTGGGAATAACAAATGCTCGGCTGCATGTCCAGCTCAGAAAAGTGTTTACTAGGCAACATCTCACACCTGTACTTTGTCACCCATGTCACTGGCCTAAACTGAGCCACGTGCCCATTTCTGAACCAATCACTTTGTGCATATGGGAGAATCATAAGATCTACTCCTGGGTTAGATGAGGTGGATGACGTGGCCAATTCCTCTGAAGTCTGTGGGTTCGTGTGAGAGGAACAGACATCTAGAAACAGGTGAAATCAGCTAGGGGTCACATGAAGGGGACAACCCGACAGTGTCCAGTAGAGGACCTGTGACCCAGGGCACACTGGCTCAACTCCCCCAACTCTTCCTGAGGTCATAGAGGAAGGCATGGAAAGGGGGTCCAGGAATCCTAGCTGCTCAGAGCATCTGTCTTCCCCAGTTGTTCCTTCAGCCCCACACATGGGTTCCCATCCCGGCACAGAGCGAAGCGGCACACGGAGGCAGGGCTCAGACCCGGGCCTTTCTTTATTGGCAGCACTCTCCTTGAGCTTCCTTCCAATGTCCCTCCAACTACTTGCTCTTGGATTTGCTCCTTTCCCCATATTTCTCTTCCAGCGCTTTCTGCAAGTTCATATTCATAGCATTTTTCCGGTGCCACCGTCCTGCAAGGAGCGGAGGAGGAACCATCATTGTGGACAGTAGCTTCTAGGAGGTCCAGCCCCCAGTGTCTGTGACCCATGCCTCTTCAAGTCCACCCCCAGGAACCCACCTCCTGCTCTGCACCTTGCAGGCACCTACCCTGCCCATGGAGGAGAGGGCCGCCCCCTCAGCCCAGCTCCCACTTACCCAGCTCATCCGTCTTCCTGCCATGCCAGTGTTCTACATCCCTCACTGATTTCTCAATCACCTCTGGCGTGTAGGAAGCCTTCATGAGGCTCTTTGTCTCCTGGGGTGGGCCTGTAGACACCATGGAGAAATCCCTAAGTCACTGAAGGTATGGCACCCTATGCTGTATCACAGGGTCAGTTTCTTCTGTGGGTGGTAGGGATGGAAGAGACAGGGAGTGGGAGGGCCTAGCATGGCTTGTGTTTAACCTCTCTGAGCTTTGGATTATTTACCTACATGAGGGGATAGGGTCTTCTTTCAACTTGGGGAAGATTAAGCCCATCTTTAAACGCAACTTCTCACCAAGTCTCGGGACATGGACAAAATGTAGACGCATTCTTCGTCAGACGCTAGCATGAATGGCCTTGAGCCCGGTTCCCAGAGAATCCTTGTTCCCACCCTGAACACACCAGAACAGTCCACTGTTCACACCTTCATTGGTGGTGCTGGTCCCTCAGCTCCTCCGAGAATCACCCTTTAGTTGAGCTCGTAGCTCTCTGGGATGCCTCTAGTTCAAAACTCCAAACTTTTCCAAATCCCTCCCACAAACTAGTTTCAGAATCCCAGGCTCAGGTTTAGTCACAGCAAGGAGCTCACATCTCTGGAACCCGTCACTGTGTCCACCAGTTTCTGTGTCACTGTGACAAAATGCCCGAGTCAAACAACTGAAAAGAGCAAAAAGGGTTTTTTTTGGCCCGTGGTTCCAGAGGTTTCAGTTCAAGGTGTCCAGAAGGGCGTGGGAGGAGACAAGCTCACACCACGGTAGCCAGGGAACATGGAAGGTACCACCCACATCCAGAGTAGACCTTTACCCCATGCCCACACATCCCTCCACCCTACCTCCACACTCCTCTACTCCTCCACCCCTCCCCCACATCCCTCCACCCTCCCTCCACACCCTGACACACACTCAGTTGATAACTCTGGAAACTGCCTCCCAGACACACACCCAGAGGCCTGTTTACTAATCTTCCTTGACCTCAGTCCAATCAATGTGACAGAAAAGAACAGCACCTTCCACACTAGGTCAGAGTTCTACAGGGAGCCACATCCCCACCTTGCTGTATGTGAAGATTTCCCAGGAGCTAAGGATAATTCTAGATGCTTCCCGGGAACTTGCTCATGGAATCAGCCCTGCTGGAGCACAGACTGAGGCAGAGTGTGCCAAAACCCCACAGCTACAAGGTCAAAGGGCTCAGCCAGGGGAGCGTAACCTTTCGACTTTACATTGTCCTGAGACAGCTGAGGATACCTCCCACCTTCCCATGAGGACTTGTCTGCGATGCACCTGAAAATGTCAAAAATAACTAGAAAATGAAGAGGAACTGTGGAAAAAGGGTACTCCCCCCCGCGAAGAAGAAGGAGGAGGAGGAGGAGGAGGAGGAGGAGGAGGAGGAGGAGGAGGAGGAGAAGAAGAAGAAGAAGAAGAAGAAGAAGAAGAAGAAGAAGAAGAAAGCTCCCGAAAAAAAAAAAATCTTAAGCTAGAGAAAAACACAAATCAAAAACACAAAGAAAGCATGGATCAACCCAAATACACCAGCAACAGAAATAAAAACTGACTTCACTCACTGGTTACAGAGAACAGATTGTCAGAGTAAATAATTTCCAAACCTATATTATTTAAAGCATACATTAAAAAGAGACCCCCCACCAAGGAGAGGATAAATATGAAATGCTAGAAAAAGATATATCAGACAAATATCAGCTGAGCACACGCTGGCCCGGCTGCACCTATATCGGACAAAATCGCCTGTAAGTCAACAGCAGTAGGAAAAATAAAAATACTGGGGGCTGGATCTATAGCTCAGCAGGTAAAGGTGCTTGCCGCCAAGTCCATGGCCTGAGTTCAATCCCTGGGATTCATATGGTGAAAGCAGCGAGCAAACTCTTGCAAGTTGTCCTCTGACCTCCACAGGCATGCCATAATATGTGTGTGTGTGTCCCCCACCCCTTCATATACACATTAAAAATGCTTTTTAAGATATAGATAAGTAACTAATCCTTTGAGCTAGCACCATGATGCTAGAATTGCTTCATTGCAAGCATCTGAAGAGACACAGCAAGATCAAAAGAGAAATTGATGAGCCTGCTACCATCAGGGAGGATTTAGAGGTCTGTCATTCACTAATCAATAGATCAAGCAAAGAGTAGTAATAAAGAGCAACAGGATTTGTGCAGAAGTCATCAACAGGCCTCTCCTATTAGGCAAACACCGAGCCTCCAGCCAAAAGAAGATCCGCAAGCTCGTGAGGAAGTCTGCAAAAGCAGCGGTGGTCTGCTCTGTGAAGCAGGCCCCAGCAACATCCGTGGGCTGCAAAGTTCCTGCAGGCCGAATTCTCTGAGGATGAGGCCACCAAGCTAGAAGTCACTCTGCAAAGCACATTTGCAAGTTTTGGTGCTTACAGGTGGCAAAGTTGACGTAAGAGAGTGAGTTAGAGGTTTGGTCGAAGCCCTCAGTCCTGATGGCAATCAGGGATCGAAGCTACCACACAGAAGTCTCTGGACAGAACTTGCAAGCAGGCCCTAGGTGAGGCTGTAAAATGGTCAGTTGTATGGTGGCTGGCATCATCTAAAAGGATTGGTTTGGCTTTTTAGATTCCCGAGGCAGAGATGAAGCCATCTTCTCACCTCTCAGAATAAATCTAATTAGATGGGATTAGGGCTTAACTTATTTCAGGAGCTTGTGCCTCGCCTCAGAGTCTGGAGGATGACCCCATGATAGAACAACAGGCATCAGCCTGAGCTGATGAGTCAGAGCACATGTGGGCCAGCTGTGTCTCCAGTGCAGGGAACCCATGCTCTGTGAACCAGCCACAGGCAGTAGAGAGGGGTGCAACCCCAAGACCCTGATGAGTCTTATCCCCAGGCTCTGTGCATGTGCAGGCACCAACAGGAGCAGCACCAAGAACACCCCCAAACACCAGACAGCAGGGGTGTGGCATGAGGCGACAGCAGGACTTAGTTTCAAACCCCTGCCACACTTCAGCCCACAGCAGCAAAGTCAGTGATTGTACTGTTTCAGGGGACCATCTCCCTCCCTCCTCATGAATCCTGTCCTTGGGGACTGAAGCGCTTGCCAGTCCAAGCCAGAGCCAGACCCAGACTCAGGTACTCTCCCTTGCTCTGGAGTGTAGCTTGAGTTTTCCTGCCTGGCCCACAGTCAGGACAAATCTCTCTCACCTGCCAGTCCCACAGCCGCTCAGACCCGACCAAGTAAACACAGAGACTTATATTAGTTACAAACTGTATGGCCGTGGCAAGCTTCTTGCTAACTGTTCTTATATCTTAAATTAATCCATTTCTATAAATCTATACCTTGCCACATGGCTCGTGGCTTACCGGCATCTTCACATGCTGTTTGTCATCGTGGCGGCTGGCAGTGTCTCTCTGACTCAGCCTTCCACTTCCCAGCTTTATTCTCCTCCTTGTCCCACCTACACTTCCTGCCTAGCCAATGGCCAATCAGTGTTTTATTTATTGACTAATCAGCAACACATTTGCCATACAGAACATCTCACAGCACTGGAGCCTCCATCTGTGGTAGCTACACAATTTCAGTTCAGCTGGGATGTCTGTGTGCGTGTATGTGTGTGTCTGTACAGCTGCATGTGTATGCACATGTGTGTGAGGTTGCACATGTGTTTGTACATACTTGGAGGCCAGAGTTCCATCTTGGCCATCATTCCTCCATCACCATCCATCTTATTATTTTGAGACAGTGTCTCTCACCCGCCAGGAGCTGGCAAGAAAGCAAGCCTGGATTAACCTGAGAAAAACCAGTTCGTGTGATTTGCTACCTTTATAAACGAACGAGAAAAGAGCCTGGGGGCTCATCTAAAAGTCAGCAGCACACAGGTCGTTAACGAACTCAACATCTGTTCAGAATTTAAGGGGGGGAAACAAACTAGGAATAAAGGGGCCCTCCTAAACCCAATAAAAAAAGCACCTTCAAAATTCCCTTACCAGAATGCTAGGCCCAGATCTGTAATCCCAGCCCCCCAGGAAACCAGAGTAGAGTGTAACCAACACCTGGGCTGGAGTGGACTCAAGGCCGGTTTGAGTAATTAGCAGGGCCTTGTCTCCAAGGAAAGAGAAGGCTCAGATTGAGTACTTATCTAGTGTTCATGAAGCCACTACTCAACCTCCAGTAACAAAATTTTATATACATATAAATGATAGATAAAGATAGATACAAATATATTGACATATTTATGAATATGTGTGGCATCTGACTATAATTATTATTCAAAAAGATCTATAATTATTGGAATTAATACATGAGCTTCCAGGTACAGTTAATATACAAAAGAAATGATGGGGCCGGCAATATAGCTCAGTGGGATAGTATTTGCCAGCTGGGTTTGAACCCCAGCACTACAAATAGATAGACAGGCAAATGGATAAAATGACTGTTACACAGACCATTGCAGAGCAAAGTAATCCTGGAGACTGAACCTAGGCCTCAGGCATGCTGAGCAAATGCTTTGCCGCTTGGCTATATCCCCAGTCCCAGGCAATACCTTCTACAATATCTTCTACAATAGGGACAGTGGTTTATGCCCCAAGCACTTGAGAAGCTGAGGTAGGAGGGTCATCTTGAGTTCCGGGCCAGCCTAGGCTACATAGTGAGATCCTCTCTCAAAACAAAAAACAAAGAAAAAAATCCATTTGCAATAAGCGGCAAAATGAGATATTCTTACCCCAAATTACAAAATACTGAAGGAAGACTCAAATCGAAGGAGCTGTATAGTGCATTGATAAATTGGAAAATGAATTAGTACCACACTGACAATTGCCCCTGAACTGATTCACTGAGTCAGTGTGCCCTAATCAAAAACCTAAAGAGGATTTTCATGGAAATTATCTCAGTGATCCTAGAAAGACCTAGAAACCCAGGACCTTAGTGGTGGTGGTGTAGGGAGTGAGAAGGTGTGTGTTCCCAGACACCTTGCAATATCTCGGTGACCAGAGTGGAATGCCAGATGGATAGAGAGGAGAACCAGAATATTGTGGAATATTAGTTGAAGGTGTGTGGCATTTGTTTATGCTGTAGAATATTTGTTTAATGATGCAAAGATGTGTTGTATTCTTTCATGTTGCATTTGTCTAACTCTGTGAAGCTGTGCTACTGTGCCTGTCTAAAACACCTGACCAGTCTAATAAACAGCCAATAACTCGGCAGGAGAGAGAAATAGGTGGGGCTGCCAGGCAGGAAGAATAAATAGAAGAGGGAGGCTTGAGAAAAGGAGGAGAAGAGGATGCCAGGGGCCAGCCACCCAGTCACAGTCAGTCACAGAGTAAGAAGGAAAGAAAGGTATGTAGAATAAAGGAAAGTAAAAGCCCAGAGGCAAAAGATAGATGGGAGAATTTAAGAAAAGCTGGCTAGAAACAAGCCAAGCTAAGGCCAGGCATTCACAAGTAAGAATAAGTCTCTGTGTAATTTATTTAGCAGCTGATGACAGGTCCCCAAAGAGTAAAGAAAAGTCAACTACACCAGAGCCTCTTGCATGTAGGAACCTGAGGGCAGACACCTGCAGGTCCCTGGGGGAAGATGTAAACTCTTGGAGAGATAAATACTCCACGCAAAGGAATTAGAAAGGAATCCTTCTCACTGCCAACAGAAGTGGACTTGAAGTGGATTAAGGGCTTAAAGCAAGCCTGGGAAAGCAGACAGGATTATGTCCATGACTCAGCGCAGCCTGAGCTCTGCTTCGCTCCTCCCGGAAGGCTCCAGCTCCACAGCCAGGCAGCTATTCCTCAGGCTGCTCCACGGAGTCAACTGCTTTGAAATAAACCTTAATCTTATTCTCACACCCAAGTCCTTTGCTTAGCATGCACTGTCTGATCCACTGCTCCTCCACCTTTACGCAAATGCCCAGACTCCTGTGCCTGGGGCTGTGTGACCTGAGTCCTCCTGAGCTGCCACCACATGGCACACGGTGCCATCCAGATGTGCGGTGCACCAGCCCAACAACTGGACCTGAAATGTCTTCCAAAGGCCAGTTTCCAATGCTTAATGCCCAGTTTGCATTCTTGGGAAGTGGCAGAAACCAAGGTAGGGTCTACTGGGAGACTTCAGGTCACTGGGTGGTGAGGGGGAACCTCGATGGGATAATGAGACCTGCCTTCTTTATCTTTCTTTTCACTGCTCAGTCATGAGGTGAAGGGCTTTGCTCCATCACACACTCCCCGCCATGATGTTGTGCCTCCCCACAGCCCCAAAAGGACAAGAAGCCACTGATCATAGCCTAGGTGCTATGCACAGGCCACAAAAAAGTTTTCCTCTGTTTTTCGTTTTAATTTGTTTTTGATTCGTTTTTGCTTGTTTGAAAAAGTGTTCTATTCTTGTCACCAAGACTAACCTAGAACTCACCAGGTAGTCTAGGCTGTCCTCAAACTCACAGTAATCCCCCTGCCTCTGCCTACTGAGTGCCGGGATTATGGACATGTGCCACACCTAGTTAACTTTTTAATAAGTTGATTATCTTGGGCGTTCCTGTTACAATAACAGAAGGCTAATAAACATACCAGGCCACCATCATGGGTCCCCGTCCTGGATGTTTACAGTCCTTCCTCTCTGCTGTCCCTGTGTCTGCCCTATTGGGTCCCACAGCTCCTTCTCCACACGGCACTGAAGCAATCCTTCCTCCAAGTCGAGCAAGCCCCATCCCTCTGTCTCCCATACCCGCTTAGTCTCTTACACCACCTTGGAAAAGACTTTCTAAGGTCCATGACTCAGACTGTCTGGCTTCTCTCCCCTGCCCTGATGCAGCCATACCTCACCACTCCCATCCACAAGTGCCAAGGTGAATCCCTGTAGGGGGGGACCTTGACATGGACACTGAACACTGATGGTCACATGCTTAGAGTACTGCAGTTCAAAGCCCTCATTCTGGTGCCAATCTCCCAGTACAGACGACTCCCGCCTAGTCTGAAGATAGCATTTATATGCCAGTCACTTCAGGAAAATCCAACAATGGCCCCTTGTGAGCCTAGCTTCTCGAGCTGGCAGAAGCTGGTTCCTGCTCACCCTTGGCACACTCCCTCTGCCTAGGCTGGGTGAGGGGGACATGGATTCTTAAGAACAGTGTTCTTGCGTACTCGTGTACACATTTTATAACGTTGGAGGTAAGAAGTCTCTGGTGACCAATGTCAAAGAGAGAAGGTAGAATCCCAGGCTCCGAAAGAGAGGGCAATTTGATCTGATCTAGCCTCCCTCCTCCAGCACCACCTCTTCCTCAAGCTCAAAGAAAAACCCAGAGAAGCTTCCAAAGTGTGTCTGGTTCCTTAGGTGACAGGGACCCACGCCAGGAAAAAGAGGCCTGCCAGACCCTGGGAGCACGGGAGACAGATGGAAGGAGGAGGACCCACTACAGTGAGCCCAGCTGAAAGGGTGTAGAGAGGAGCTGCTGCGTGCTCACTGTACCCCATCTCAGCAATCGAGAAAGCTCCTGGGAATCCTGCTACCCCTAGGGACCGCCACTGTGAGCCCCACTTCTCTCCACATGACAGGTCTTCAGCACTTGGCTGCAAGCCCAGCTGTGACGTGAGGCTCGTGGCACCCCAGAGCTAAACAGGATCGGACAGGCCAAATTATCCTTCTAGAAATGGCACCCCTCCAACCCACCTGTCCTTTTCTCCAGGTGATGCCACCCACCAGGTTCCAGAAAAAAAATAAATGAATGGCCTGTCACCCTGACTCCCCTCCTGGAATCCTGTCCAGGGCAATAAGGGCCACACACTGTCTTTATCAGCCCGGTTGCACAAGGAGGAGGCTAGGACGCAGAGAGGTGAGGGCTCCTTGTTCATAGTCGTCCCTAGCTGGGGAGTGGCCAAGCTGACCTTTGAACCCAAGAAAGCTGATACTGTCACTGTCACCAAAGGTGTCAGGTCAGGGGTACCCAGGCCTCCCCCTGGTAGGCTAGGGAAGCAGAGGTGTCCAGTGTGGGGGCCTGAGTGCCGAGAGGGCCTGCATCACCTGCACAGTGAGGGCACACCTGCCAGGAACTAGCTGGTCCTGGCATTCTCATAGGACATGACAGCATGAAGGATGCCTTGGGTGCTTGTGAAGTGAGTGTCCGTGGGGTTATGCATTTGGGCCTTAAGGTCCAGGTAGGGTGGACACCCCAAAGGCCTTCTGTCTCCAGTGTTCTCTGGACCACACATGCTCACAGCCCCCCCCACCCCCACCCTCGCCTTTTAATCTGACCTTGGAACAAGTTGGACCGCATGTGGTAGCCCAGGTCATAGTAGTCTGCGAAGATGGAGGAGACTTGTACAGGGCTCTGGGTCCTGCTGGGCCACGAGCTTGACCTCTTCTGGCCCTCAAAGATTTCACCAATGGCCCTTCGAGCCTGACAGAGGAGGCAAGTACAAGAGACAAGTGATGAGCAGGTAAGGGTATGTCCTCTCCCTCCTACCCCGCCTTCCCCTCTGCAGACTGAATCCCCCAGGGCAAGCTGTGCACCTCCCGGTTCATTTCCTCCTCCCAGCAAGCTAAGTCTTAAGTGACAGCAATGATTCTGCACGTGTTGAGCTCTTAATGTGCACAACATCAGGGCGATGAATCTACACAGATTGAGCTCTTACTGTATACACCATCAGGAAGAGGGTCTTCATAGGGTGAGCCTGTCTCCACCATTTTAGAAATGAGGAAACAGGACTTGGAGAGGTCAGACTCCCCCAGTTCACACAGCTGGGGAACCCCCCAGGTCCCCAACTTGCGGCTTACTACCAAGGCATCCCACAAGCCAAACTTCTCAGTTTACACTGCGGCCAACTTCTTCCTCACATCAAGAAGGGAACTGAGGCCCAGAGGGACAAGTCTGGGCCTGTAAGTCAGGAAACCTGAATATGAGCCCCAATTCTGACAAAGCAGCTGTTGACTTTGGCAGGTATTGGAGCCTCAGTTTCCCTGCTTGTAAAACAGGGCGGGGTGGGGGGTAAACTGGAGAGCCTGAAAGTAGCTTTCAGCTCAGACACTTCCCATGTTGGCGGCACCAGGGACTGGTGCCTGGAAACTGCGATGCAGAGGCCAATGGTGGCCAAACAGAGGTGGGGTCTTCCCACAGCCAAGAGCTGCAGGAGTGACCACACCCATCTCCAATGGAACAAGTCCCTCCAAGTAGGGAGAGACACTTGAGAATGTGACCCACCCCTGAGAGTGTCTGATGGGTGGGGTTGTTGTACCTTGAATGTGAAGGCAAGCCCGGAAGGCCCTGACCCTCAGTCATTTTTTGCGTTGATCTACGGGCCTTGTAGAGGCCACACAACACAACACCTCTCCTGGTCCCAGTTACCCTCTGTTTAAAAGGAAGCAATAGCCGGGCGGTGGTGGCGCACGCCTTTAATCCCAGCACTCGGGAGGCAGAGCCAGGCGGATCTCTGTGAGTTCGAGGCCAGCCTGGGCTACCAAGTGAGTTCCAGGAAAGGCGCAAAGCTACTCAGAGAAACCCTGTCTCGAAAAACAAAAACAAAAACAAAAACAAAAAAAAAAAAAAAAAAAAAAAGGAAGCAATAACCACTGCCCTCCTGACCACAGACTGCAGTTGCTACAAGGATTAAAACAGTGGCCTTAATATATGTCTCAGAATACCAGAGTAGGAAGGGAGCTTATCCTTTGACTAAAACTGTCAGGTGAATCTAGTCTCAACTGCCAGTTGATAGTTAATGGCTGTCTAGAGTAATATAGCAGGTAGGAAAGAGTGCCAGGATTGATTTATCATGTCTGCCATGAATAGGGATAGACTTGTGGCATGCATGTCATGGATTTATCAGCCTGAACAACTTGGGTGCTTCATTTTGCAGATCTAGAGACCGAAGGACAGAAACAGAAAGCAATTTAACAAGAATCACCTGGCCTTTGGAAATAGCCCCACTGTGGAAACAGATCCAAATCTGGGTCTCTGATACCCAGTAAGTGCAGTCTATCCACAGATGCTGGCCCCCTTAGGAGATGTGTCCAGATCAAAAATGTCTAATGCAAGCAACAGACTTGTAGTTGAAAAGTCAGTAGCAGCCAGGGCTCTAGAACCCACTCTAGATCCTCATCTCACACGGCTGGGTAGATGTGGCTAACTTGCTTAGCCCCTCTTGCCTTGGACTTCATGTGAAATGGTGGTAATACCTCTTTCCTCATAGTCATCACACACAAAGGGTCGCGAGAACACACAGAGCCTAATGCGCAGCAGGTCTCAGTAAACGCTGCTAACAGTATGGGGACCATTTCCAGGAGTGGGTGTTGAACCCTCATTAAGTCTCCCAGACAACCCTCTCCCACCCTTAGTCTCCCGCATCTCCGCTTTGTCACCTGTTCCTCGGAGATCAGACGGTCCACCACCTTGCTCCCAAACTTGTGGCGGATGTTTTCAGGAATGACACTGTCCTTCTGGCTCAGAGGCACTGTCCTCTGCTCTGAGCTCTCCCTGGCTTCTCTCAAGCTGGATCTAGATGAGCCCTTCTTCAGGTCCTCAGGCTGTGAGCCCGTGGCCAGAGAAGTCCTGCTGGCAGGAGTTGGGGGCGGAGGTGGCATCTCCAAGTGGCCCTGGCTCAGGGGGCTGCCTCGAGGGCTCTGGGAGAGCCCTGGATGGTGCTTGAGTTTGGAGCTGTCCAAGTTGCCATGGGCCGCTCTTGAGGAGTCCATGTCCTGCCGGCCCTCCTTGTTGTTTGGGTGGGTCCTTGTCAAAGTGGTCGTACCTGAGCAGGGGGAAAGGGGGGTGGAGAGAGACAGGAAGGCACAAGACGGGTGTGAGAAGCAGAAGCAAGAAAGGGGGATCAGTGGGAGGGTAAGTAGACAAAAGCCAGAGAGCCAGAGACAGACAAGGGCATGGAGCAAAGAAATCACAGGATGCCAAGGCAAGGTGAGAAGAGAGAAAAGGGAGGCAGAGGGAAGTCAGTGAGATGACCTCCATAGAGCAGGGTTGTCTCCACAAGGCTATGACCCCAGCGGCTGTGACTCAGGCCTGTCCAGCCTTAATTAGACCTAACAGCATGGCCTTAAGCATGAGATCTGGCCTTGGTGTCCCCTGGCTCGCTTTGGTAAGTTCCCTTCCTCACTTTGAACCCCAACAAACCCTTAGGACTCCAATAGGCAAGGGGGTGGCAGAGGTGACTCTTGGCCAGATTTCAGGTCAGAGCCCTGGTCCTTGCTCCCCATCCCCCACCTCTTCTGCCGTCCATCCCAGCCGCCTCCAGGATCTCAGGGGCACGAATGGCTCCCTCTCTCATTCCCACTTGCATTACTCCAAAACTCCTTCTATGAACAGGACTGCTAACCTCATCCCGTGGACCGCCCCTTCTCTCCTCCCTGGCTCAGAAAAAGGACAGTTGCCTCCCTCCCTGCACACCCTGAGACACTCCATCTCTCAGCCTCAGCCAGGCTGCTCCACTACGTGTTGGGGCAGTCCTTTTTTTTCTTTTTAATTTTTTTTAACCTTTATTTTTATTTTTATGCATATGGGTGTTCTGCCTGTGTGTACATGTATGTTTATGCACCACATGCATACAGTGCCCACAGAGGCCAGAAGAGAGTGTTGGATTCCCAAGTACTGGAGTCACAGACAGTTGTGAGCTGCCACGTGGGTACTGGGACTAGAACCTGGGTCTTCTGGATGAGCGACTATGTCACTATGGCTCTTAACGGTTGAGTCATCTTTCCACCAACCACCATCCTTTCTTCAAAGTCAAATCAGACCCTTCCTTCAAGTACACACACACACACACACACACACACACACACGCTTGCGTGTGCACACACACCTCCTGTCACTGGCCCCATGCTGGTTGGGCCATTTCTCTGCTCAACATCTGACGATGCCCACAGTCCATCCTCACAGCCCTGGGTGTTTCCTTTCCACCTCACTATGAGTTCCACGACACCTCCTTTCTCCTCCTAGATAAGGGGAGATGGTCTCACAGGTGAAGTCCACGTAGGGGGCCAGGCTCAGGCCTTCCACATTAACCCAAGGTGCCCAGAACATTTGAGTCCTTTAGTAAGGGAGAATACAAGCGGCTGGCTGTAGGGTCTGACCGTGAGAAACACCAACACCTCATCCAAGCAAAGACACCTTTCTCCTCTCGTTCTGACTACAGGCTGTGTGACAGTTGACAGCCCCGAATGGGGCTAACCAGGAGTGCGTTATCTAACTGACATAGTGGAGTGTCTTTCGTACACCCACTGTGCAGGAGTCCTCATGCCCATCATAGCCTGCCCGATCCTCAGCCCCAAGAGCCAGCTGGAAATGCTTGGTGAGCTTCCCCCTAAGTATTCCAGAAGAGTCTTCCAGCCTACAAGAGACAGTTTGTTTTGCTTTTGTGTAGAAATGAAATCCAACTTCATGCTGCATTCAAACTTGCTGTTTAAAAAACATCCCTGCCCCTCAGAGACCCAGTCCACACCGTAGAGAGGGAGGGAACGGTCCTTTCTACTTCACAGACCCTGGCTGCTGCCCTGCTGTTTGGCGGCCACCAGTCAGGTTTTCAGGACAGGCTGGTACAAACATCGGGCTTCACTGTTGTGACTTTCTTGCCCCTTTGAGAACCCCTCTTCTCCCCCAGGGAGAGGGCACAGAGAAAACTAGGCTCTCTCCCCCTTTCTCCCCACTTCCTCCTGCCTATCTGACTCCAATCTTTGTCCCCACCCCTTTATCACCCACAAAAGGCAAAGGGAGAAACTGTCTCCTGGAGCCAGATGGCCCTCCCTCCCCACTTCTGGGTTCTGCCCAAAGCGGCCGGCAGCCAGCCAGTGGGGCCTTTGGGGACAACTCAGGCCGCAAGAGCAGGAGTCCGAGGTGGAATCCACAGCACCTGCCTGGTCAGCTGAAGCTTCGCCTGCCCCCAGGAAGACAAAGCCAGTGCAGGGCTGAACTCCACCCACACCCCTTTCCGATCCAAGGTTCAGGGATCCGAGTCCCCAGCCTGCCCTCCTGGTTGCCTCCTCTTCTGAGCCATTATGAAGTAACAATAACAGCCTAGTCTTCTGCCTCCCTTCAGGGTTAGTAGCACTTCAGGCCTGGGTGTGTCCTGTGTTCTTGGACTTAGCAGAGGCCCATTTGTCCACTGTGTGCTTTCCTATTCTGTGTCTGGCAGTGGACCAGGCTCTAGGGTGACAAGAGGCAAAAGAGCCAGCCAGTTCCTGAGCTCCAAGAGCAGAGTTCTTGGATGGATGGATGGATGGATGGATGGATGGATGGATGGATGGAATGGATGGATGGATAGATGGGAGGGTGGGTGAATGGAGGGATGGATGGATGAGATGGATAGATGGATGGATGGATGGATGGATGGATGGATGGATGGATGGATGGATAGGAGGGATGGATAGGAGGGATGGATAGGATGGGATGGATGGATGAATGGATGAATGGATGGGATGAGATGAATGGAATGGATGGATGAATGAACAGGATGGTTGGATGAATGGGATAGTGTGGTAGTTTGAATGTAATTGACCCCCATAAACTTCATAGGGAGTGGCATCATTAGGAGTAGTATTTTTGTTGAAGTTGGTATGGCCTTGTTGGAGGAAATGTGTCACTGTGGGGATGGGCTTTGAGGTCTCCTATGCTCAAGCTATGCCCAGTGTTGTAGTTCACTTCCTGTTGCCTAAGGATCAAGATGTAGAACTCTCAGCTCCTTCTCCAGCACTATGTCTGCCTGCATACTGCCATGTCCCACCATGATAATTGTCTGAACCTTTGAAACTGTAAGCAGGCCACCCCAATTAAATGTTTTCCTTTATTAGAGTTGTCGTGGGGCTGGAGAGATGGCTCAGTGGTTAAGAGCACTGGCTGCTCTTCCAGAAGTCTTGAGTTCAATTCCCAGCAATCACATGGTGGCACACAACCATCTATAGAGGGATCTGATGCCATCTTCTGGCATAAAGGTGTACATGCAGATATAGGACTCAATCATAAAAAAAAATCTTTAGGGACTGGAGAGACAGCACAGTGGTTAAGAGCACTGGCTGTTCTTCCAGAGGACCTGGGTTCAATTCCCAGCACCCACATGCAGCTCACAACTGTCTATAACTCCAGTTCCAGGAGGATTTGACATTCTCACACCAATGCACATAAAATAAAATTTTTAAAAAATTGCCATGATCATGGTATCTCTTTATAGCAATAAGAAACCCTAACTAAGACAGATGGGATGGAGGGATGGATAGATGGATGGATGGATGGATGGATGGATGGACAGATGGATGGATTAATAGATGTCTGCATCTGGCCTTCTCATTGCACTTCTGATCATTTATCAGTCAGATGGACAGAATAAGTAAATAAGCCCTGCTTTGTTTACTACCATGAGCACCGAAGGACCGTGAACAGAATTTTCTAACTCTGGTCTTTTTATCAAAATGCCCCCCACACTCACTAAGAATACAGATTCCTGAGTCAGAATGCCCCAGGAAAGGCCCAGAACCCAAGGATTTAAAATAGCTACTGGAGTGACTGGGGTCACTGGGAAGCTGGAGGCAGATGATGCTCCTGATGTACTTTCCCCCACGCACTTGCCATCCCTGGCTATGTTGGGTGTTGGAGCCCACCTAGGTTTCCTGGTGGCTTTGCCCAGCAGGTCTGCATAAAGAGGATGATTGGACCACGGGCCTGAGTATCAGGTGTTTGGAAGGGTCTACACTTGGCTGTATTGAGCAAGGGGGAGGTCTTTGCTCTTCCCCTTGGCATTGTTATAAAAAGCCCTTTGGAATAAAGTTCAGGGCTGGTAGATTCGGACCCAGGCCCTCCCGAGGCTATCCTGTGTTTCTCTCATCATCTAGGTATCTCTTTCTAGCTAATATTTCTCACTTCTCCCTACTCAAGAGTACCCTGGGTTATAAAAGTGGCGGCTGGTCCACTACACTTGGGGGAGCCTTCCCAGAGCTGATCTGGCTCTGTAACACCTACATAAGACTCCTTTCCCCTTTGAAGCGGGCATCTTTGTCCCCAGTACCCAGAGCATAGATGCACACCCTCTCTGCCACCAACCCCAGCCCATACGTCATCCCTGCCCGTATTCTCACAGCTCTGTACTTTGGGTGCATAGAAGTAACTGTCAAGCTCTCCAACAACCCCATCTTAACCCAGAGAAGCTGGAGACCTGAACCACACACCGTCAGACTTCCAAGCCTGGCAGCTGGAGGCTCAGAAGCTCTTCCAGTTTCTTCTGTGCTTAGAGTATCCTGGGTCAGTTAGGCCATTCCATCTGGAGGCCTCAGCAAGATCAAGGGAGATGAGGGAGTCCCTCACCTCCACTGCCCCCCCACACACACACCGAAGCCTGGCTCTGCAGGCAGTGTTCCTATCCTACCTGGTCGGTGGCCCAGCTCCATGGATTCTGGCTCTGAGACCCGCAGTTTCTGAGCTTGGCCCTGCAGACAAAGCAACACACACTGAGTGGTTTCAGGTGACAGTTTCCATAAAGGATGACAGCTGGGAACTGACTGGGGAGACCCCAGAGATCCAGCTATACTGCAGCTGCCACTGCTGTTTCAGCATCCAGCACACCCCAGGTCCCTTAACCTCCTGCCAATCACCAATGCTTCTGGTTATCCAGGGCCACCACCTGGGCGTCCGTGGCCCTTCTCACAGAGCCATGTAACTGGGATTCTCTTACTCTTTCCTAATCTCCTCCCATCTCTTCCTCCTCTCTTCCACCAGCTCCAGGAGGCCCTGGCTGTGGGACCACTGCCTCAACTTCCATTGTCATTCGTCGTCACAAGAGGCACCCGCTTCTACATAAGCGCTGCCACACAGTCCTTCACAGATGCGTGGATGAAGGGTCTGGGCGCCTGAGCTGCCTGTTTCTTCCACATGGCCTCTGCATAAGACAGCTTAAAACATGGCATCTGGAGGTGAGGGGAGCATGAAACCCAGGGGACTCATGAGTGTCTGATAGAGCCTGACCCCAAGCCCATTTTACCCATGGGTTGTTCACCAAAGGAGAGGGACGTTCACTAGGAGATCCTGGAAAGGGACCCAGGACCCAAGAGTATCAGCTCTGCGTCTTTTGCACCTGTGTCCTTTTCTCCTAAGGGACCGTTTCCTTATTTCTATTCCCTTCCTTTGAGCACATAGGGAGCTTTCCCCAAGTTTCTACGAAGGGAGTAACGAGGGGACAGAGAAGTCTGGCCTGATGGCATCTTCCAGACAAGGGAAGAGCAGAACAGAAGCAGCAAGGGAGAGCCGAAGAGTGACCTAAGTTTAATTTCTGTTGCTGTGACGAAACACCCTGACAAAGGCACTGAGGGAAAGAGTGTTTCTTTTAGTCCACAATTCCGTGCTGCAGTCCATCCTCGCAGGAAAGAATCACAGCAGCAGGGGCTGAAAACAGCCACTCACATCCCGCCCACGGTCAAGAGCAGAGAGAGGTGAATGCCGTGTGCTTACTGCTCGGCTGGCTCACTTTATCCACTGTCATGTGGTCCAGAACCCAAGCCCAGGGAAATGGTACCGCCCACAGTGGGCTGGGCCCTCCCACGTCAATGAACATAATCAAGACCATCTCCCACAGACATGCCCAAAGGCCAGCCTGAGCTAAAGAGCCTCTCAGTGAGATTCTCTTCCCAGGTGATTCTAGATGCGTCAAGTTGACAAAACTAACCATCAAAGGGGTCTCTGAAGGCTGAGGCTGAGAGAGAGAGAGAGAGAGAGAGAGAGAGAGAGAGAGAGAGAGAGAGAGAGACTGTCTGTCTCTGTCTCTGTCTTTGTCTCTGTCTCTGTGTGTGTGTGTGTGTGTGTGTGTGTAACTGGTCTAAGATCACCCAGCAAACTGATTGGCTGATAACCTCAAATCAGGTAGGAACCAGACCAATTTTATCCCCTTGCAAAGTTATTAGTCAAAACTCCTTACTAATTTTGACTAAATTACATGGGGCCAAGGCTCGGTTGGAGAACACTTGCCTAGAATGCATGAGACCCTGGGTCAGTCCTCAGCACCACAAAACAAAAATTATCATTTGTAATTGTGTATTTTCTGATATGATGAACCCTATCCCTAGGGCTCACAGGCTGGTCAGTCCTCGAGTATGGACTGGACCCAGTGACTTGTTTCTTGATAGAAATCATGTGATGAAAGTGGTGTTTCTTTCTAATCCTGACACTTCCAGGATTAGGTCCATGACAGTTGCCTTACTGGTACTCTCCCTGGCTCTCTCCAGCTGGCTTGCTCTGACCTGCCATTCGTAAAGCCGACCCATGCAGAAGCCATGTGGAGGGACTGAGGCAGCCTCTGGCCAGCAGTTCCTGAGGAGCACAGACCCCAGGTCCCAGTGTCCTCAAAGAACCAAGTGAGCCCTGTCCCTGGAAGAACTTGGACCCTCCTCCAGCCGACCCTGAAAATGCGGTCCACGTGACACTTTACATCCATAGGACCCGACCCACGGTGCAGCAGGCTGTGGCCATCAGCGGTCCTGTGCTGACCATGCTGTGTCTTCTCCTCTCACTTTTCATGTCTATGCTCTGGTCAGAAAGCTTGCTGACTGGAATACCCTGCCCTCAGCCAAGAGGATGTCATCTGTGAGGAACAGCCCCCTTCTTCTGGTGCATGGCTGGGGCTCCTAGGCAAAGCGTTCTGAATGCAGACAGTAACTGGACCACATACCAACAACTTCCTCTTCCCTGAAGCCCTGGAAGATGCTTCTTAAGACATTTCATGTCTGGCTTCTTTCAGGTCACTCAATAAGCCCACATTCTTTCTCCATTTCTTTTTTTTTTTTTTTAAAGATTTATTTATTTATTTATTATATATACAGCATGTATGACTGCAGGCCAGAAGAGGGCACCAGATCTTGTTACAGATGGTTGTAAGCCACCATGTGGTTGCTGGGAATTGAACTCAGGACCTCTGGAAGAACAGCCGCTCTCAAACGAGCGGCTCTTAACCTCTGAGCCATCTCTCCAGCCCCTCTTTCTCCATTTCTTTTAAAGAAAAATATACTTATTCTTTACACATGCCAAAAAATGTTCAACTAAGAAATGGTTCTGGGGACTAGGGAGATGGTATAGTTGATAACATGCTTGCTATAAGCATGAGGGCCTGAGTTCATACCCAGCGCCTACGTAAAATGCCAGGTGTGGTGGCACATGATTGTAATCCCAGAGTTGGGGAGGTGGAGATAGGAAGAGTCTTGGGGCTCCCTGGCCAGTTAGCCCAGTCTCCATGGTGAGCTACCAGCCAGGGGGAAAAATGGGCAGCACCTGAGGTAAGGCTCCTGGAGGCTGACCTCTGTCTTCCACACATAGATACATAGATACACACACACACACACACACACACACACACACACACACACACACACACACACACACAAGAAAAGGCTCAAAGTGCTTTCGGGAGAAGGCCAACAATGGAATGTACAACCTGTTAACATTGTGTGAAGATAAGGAGATAAGAACATTTTTCAGCTGACAAAGGACTCTTTAAGGCAGTGTTTCTCAACTTGAGGGCCAAATGACCCTTTCACAGGGGTCGCCTAAGACTGTCCTGCATATCAGCTATTTACATTATGATTCATAACAGTAGCAAAATCACAGTTATGAAGTAGCAACAAAAATAGTTTTATGTTTGAGGGTCACCATAGCATGGGGAACTGTAGTAAAGGGTCACAGCATTAGGAAGGCTGAGAACCACTGGACACGGATGAAGGGCACACCTCACAGATGCTCTTCCTGGAGCTTCCTCGGATAAACAAGAGAGAGCGTCTGTCCAGTGTGACTCACGGGCTGTACAGTGTGTTACCAAACTGTCAGCAAAGCCCTGCCAGCCAGGAGCGGAAGGGATGCAGACTGTGTGGAATGAGCAGACACCATGGAGCAAAGGTTTAAGGCAGCACTTAGCCTGGAAGTGAGTTCACAGTGCAGGGCTGTGAGCGGGGGAGAATCATTCCCTGCTTTGAAGCCGGTTCAAGGACCATCTGATGTTTGTCTATGGGACTCAGCGTCACTGGGGCCCCATGACATTGTGTGTCTCCTCTGTCCTCATTTCTGAACAGAAGCACCTGTAGAATCCCTTGTGCCTGGTACTTCCTGGAAGCTGGTGACTTCAGGAAGATTACTGGTGGTAGACTCTGTGAAGACCTGCACCGGAGCCCCACCCACGCCTGGAACCAATGCGCCCATTCTCCAGTTCTCTGTCATCACCCCTCATCAGGTGAGCTGACAGAGATCTCAAGGCATGTGTGTGTGTGATCCATGTGAGAGGGACACATGTTGCTGTAGACAGGCCCAAAGGCTCCCAGGGAATCTGCTTTGAGGGGTCGTTCACTCCCCTTGAAGCAGGCAGGACCTAGTGGTCTGTTCAAATCAGCAGACTGCGGTGGGAACTGAGGAATGTCACCTCCATGTTGTGAAGGACTGGCTTCTGTCTTTGTTCACATGCTCTCTCAAGCTCTTCTTGCCTCCCTGACTCTGATAGAGGCCAGTGACCACATAGAAAGGCATCGTGTAGAGAAGCCTCTGCCCAACAGTTTACAAGGAGCTCATTCTTCTATGTAAGAGGCCTTGGGAAAGGATCCTTGAGATCAAAGTTTCAGTCCATAACCGCAGCCTGGGAGAGACGCCGAGACAGGACCCACCACTACTGTGCCAATACTCCCAACCCACTGTGAGACCAGAAACACCAGCATTCTAAGATGCTAAGTGCCGCCGGGCGGTGGTGGCGCACGCCTTTAATCCCAGCACTCGGGAGGCAGAGGCCGGCGAATCTCTGTGAGTTCGAGGCCAGCCTGGGCTACCAAGTGAGTTCCAGGAGAGGCGCAAAGCTACACAGAGAAACCCTGTCTCGAAAAACCAAAAAAAAAAAAAAAAAAAAAAAAAAAAAAAAAAAAAAAAAAAAAAAGATGCTAAGTGCTGGGGTGGTTTGTTACACCCCAGCAAGAGCTGACTGCTACAACTCATATTAGCGCTCTGTGATGGTTTGAATAGGAATGACCCCTGTAGATTCATATATTTGAACGCTTCCTCATTAGGGAGTGGCCCTACTTGACAGGAATTAGGAGGTGTGGCCTTGTTGGAATAGGTATGGCCTTGCTGGAGGAAGTGTGTCACTGGGGTGGACTTTGGGGTTTCAGAAACCCAAGACAGACCCAATCTCTCTCTCTCTCTCTCTCTCTCTCTCTCTCTCTCTCTCTCTCTCTCTCTCTCTCTCCCTCTCTCTCCCTCTCTCTCTCTCCCTGCTGCTCTCAGCTCCAGATGTAGAACTCTCAGCTACTCTCTAGCACCATGTCTACCTGCATGCTGCCATGCTTCCTGTCACGATGGCAGTGGACTAAACCTCTAAACAATAAGCCGGTCCCCAGTTAAATGTTTTTCTTTATAAGAATTGCCATGGTCATGGTGTCTCTTCACAGCAATAAAACACTAAGAAGTTGGTACCGGGGACCAGGTACTGCCATATCATGCCTAACCCTGCTGCTTTGTTGACAAAATGTGGACTTTGGGACTTCGGATTAGAAAAGCAGTGGAATGCTTTAAGTAGGGCTTAATGAACCATACTAGGAGGAGCATGGAAGACAGTGTCGCTGAGTAAGAACAATGTAGATTATGACAGCTCAAGAGGTTTCAGAGAAAAAGAATATTAGCACACGGCCTAGAGATCGTTCTTGGGATATTTTGGCAAAGAATGTGGCTGCTTATTGCCCTTGTCTGAAAAGTCTGCCTGAGGCTAAATTGAAGAGTTTTGGATTATTGGTGTTGGCAGAGATTTCAAAACAGTCTAGTTTTGACTGTGTTTCATGGTTATTAGTGGCCAGTCTTAGGTAGAGCTACAGTGAAAAGGAGTAAGCTGAGCAAGGAAAAATACAAAATGTATAGATTGAGGGGAAAGAGGGCACCAAGAAGTGGAATGGCGCTAAATCCTGTGATCAAGGAGATAAACAGATTAAAGAAAAGCCTGATGCTAAGTGGAATAAAGGGAGTGGGGACCTCCGGGCAAGACCCTGTCCAACTAAGCTTCCAACTTGTGAAAATAAGTTTAGGAGTGGGCATGGTGGCACACACTTTAAATCCCAGCACTTGGGGAGCAGAGGCAGGTGGATCTCTGAGTTTTGAGGCCAGCCTGGTCTACAGAGTGAGTTCCAGGCCAGCCAAGCCTAGACAAGTGAAGGAAATCTTTGAAAACAGAAAGGTGACGTGAATGTGATTAACGAGCGGGCCATGATCCAGTCCCAGCAAGCAGCAGAACTTGGCAGCTTTGGCCACGTGGTTCTGGCTTTAGAGTCAAGGATGGAAGAAATGGGATGTCCCTCCATGGCTAAGAAAAGCCACTGAAGCCAGACGTGTGTCAGGGATGTCCCTGCATGGAGGCCCAGAGAGGCCACTGCATGAAGTGGTGAGGGTGGAGCCAGGATTGCCTTGGAGACGCACAGATGTTGGAGATGCCAGAGTCATGGGATACCTGCCGAGGAGAGCTGCTAACAGGGAGTGGTACCAGCCCAAGAGAGAGAAGTGTGTTGCAGTCCACAAAGCTGAACAGAGTTGGAGATAGGAACAACACTTTGACATCAGACATGGAGATACAGAGTTTGGAGTTTGCCCAGCTAGTTTCTGTTCTTGCTTTGGTCCAGTATTTCCTCACTATGCTTCCTTCCTTCCCTTCTGGAAGGATAGTTTATATCCTGTGCCATTGTGTGTTCAAAGTACATGATCTGTTTTTTTTTTTTTAATTTTGATTTTTACAGGAGTTACAGTTAAGAGATTGCCATGAGTCTCCAAAGAGACTTTGAACATTGGACTTTTAAACTGCGTTGAGACTATGATAGACTATGGGGACTTTTGTAGTTGGACTGAATGCATCTTTTGCATTATGCTGCGGCTACAAGACTTTGGGGTCCAGGGAGTGGAATGTGGTAGTTTCAATAGGAATGGCCCCCAAAGACTCATGTATTTGAATGCTTGGTCATCAGGGAGTGGTACTACTTGACAGGGCTTAGGAGGTGTGGCCTTGTTGGAGGAAGTGTGTCACTGGGGTGGGCTTAGGGATTTCAGAAGCCCAAGCCAGGCCCAATCTCTCTCTCTCTCTCTCTCTCTCTCTCTCTCTCTCTCTCTCTCTCTCTCTCTCTCTCTCTCTCTCCTGCCTGTGGATCTGGGTGTAGAACTCTCAGCTACTCTCCAGCACACGTCTGTCTGAATGCCACCATGCTTCCCATCATGACGACAACGGACTAAAGGCCAATGCTTTCCTTTACAAGAGTTGCCGTGGTCATGGTGTCTCTCCACAGCAATAGAACATTGACTAAGACACATTCCCATAGCCAGCATATTAGTGTGTCTTCAGAAGGACCCACAAAGTCTCTATGAGCTTACCCTCTGTCATGAAGGAGAAGATGGGGGTCGGAGAGGAAGCAGGATTGAGGTGGGACTAAATAGGAAAGTGAGTGTCTAGCGTGTGATAGGCCCTGTGATCCATCTTGAAGTCAACGAAGCTCAAATCCGTGCTTTCAGATTAGCTTCCTGGTCATAGCTGGTCTCCCATCCCCGATCACAACCTGACATGCCCCCATGGCTACCCCTTAGCCTAGAGGTACAGCCAGTCAGGGCAGCCTTCGCTGGCTGACACAGAAGGTGGGTTCACAGCCAGTCACTGACCTGAAGAGGAAGGTCCTGGAGGCACTGGCCAAGGAGGCTGGGAAGATGCGTGCAGCTGCAGCCTGGGCACCTGGTACTCACAAGCAACTCTGCATGGGGAAAAGGAAAATGAAAACTCCAGGGGGCGATGGAGGCCCCAACCACCTCACAGGTACCTCCGCCTCACCTCCCCAGGTGAACCACTCTGGAGGGTCAGACAGAGTAACACTGATACCCTAGAGGACCGGCGGGTTACTAAGGAGCAGACTTCCAAGCAGATCATTGGAGTTGCCATGGTGACACTGTACACTGGCCTTTATTACCTCAGAGGCTGGTAGGCTCATCCTACCACAGTGAGGGATCAAGACGGAGAGGACAGGAGAGTTTTCATGTGTTACTTCCCGACACATCTTCTCAGAAATGCCCATTGAGCAGCCACCAAGGCCAGGTTCACAGGGCTCAGACCAAGCACAAAGGATGCTCTCATAAGAGCAAGGGAATGGTAGATGATATGACCAAGTCTGTCTAGGGACACACACACACACACACACACACACACACACACACACACACACATACATACACGCATGCATGCACAAAGGACCATTTGAGCTGGATCTTGAAGTATGCATAGAAGCTCACTGATTTAGAAGAGAGAGGACATGAGAGGTATTGAGAGCACAAATGTGGTTCAAAGTAAGGAACTCTTAGTACCCGAGCTGGATGTCGGGAATCAGGGAATAAAATTAAAGCATGGGTTTGACCATGAGGGTCCTCTCTGCCTGGAACTACAGGGTTAGCTGCCGATGAGCTCAACAAAGTTGTGACTTCTACATAGTGATGCGGATGCAGAACCATGGGTGTGGACACTAGCTCTGCCTCCCAGCAGGCGCAAGGTGGAGGTGGGCATATTCTGTGATCTCTCCAGGAGACAGAGATACATAGCTAAATCTGGGATCCTAGGGACCTACTACTTATTAGATGATTTTTTTTTTTTTTTTTTTTTTTTTTTGGTTTTTCGAGACAGGGTTTCTCTGTGTAGCTTTGCGCCTTTCCTGGAACTCACTTGGTAGCCCAGGCTGGCCTCGAACTCACAGAGATCTGCCTGGCTCTGCCTCCCGAGTGCTGGGATTAAAGGCGTGCGCCACCACCGCCCGGCATTAGATGATTTTTTTGTTCCCGTTATGAGGCACTACTTATTAGATAATTGTGTTGTTGTTCCAGTTATGAGGCGGCCCAGGCTGACCTCAGATTCAATCACAGTCTTGCCCTCGGCCCCCACCGAGGTAACGGGTGTATGCCACCTCGGGTGAGCATCTTGCACCACCCTCATCAGGGATCCTACTGTGGGACAGAGCTGGCCCACCCACAAACCTCTCAGTTTATTATGCGTTTTCTAGCCCACAGCTGCGGGAGTAGGGCTCTAAGAACGGCATCTCCGAGGGCTACAGGGGATGCGGGGAGGACCAGGGCCAGTGGGGCTCATCCTGAGACTCCCTTGGGGACAGATACGCAGGCACACATGGCTGATGATGGGACACTACTCTGTGTTCTACTGGATAGAGAGGCTTAGGGTCCTGTCGGATTCTCAGCCCCTCACTGTGTGAGTCCTCGCACGCCATTTCATCAAGGCCAGTGAAGAAAATTAACATTAGACATCAGTCTTGTACTGTGTGGTTCTGGGAGCAGCTTCCCGTCCACTTTGCCCTGCTTTGTTGGCTATAAGCAAGTCACACACACACGCGCACACACACACACACACACACACACACACACACACACATGAGAAAGAGGTTCCCACAAGACAGGAAGGTAGACACCACAGAAGGCCTCTGTGAGTCAGATCCCCTTGAAGGCTTCTCTCACTATAGGTCCTGGTCAAACCTTGGCCAGATGATGTCACCCCTTTGAGGAGAACCTTCCAGAAGTAAAAACTCAAGTCTTCCTGCAAAGCCCTACCCGACATGCTCTCTTCCCTCTGCTGTGGACCCTTCCACTCTGCCCATGCACCGCACCCATGGCCCCAGCTGAGCACAGCGGCCTCAGGCCCTTTGTATTAGCTCTCCCTTCAGTACCTCCTCCTCTCCCCAGATGTCTTCAGGGCCTGCTGCAGGAGTCCTGCTCACTTCCAAGACTCTTGAAAGCTGCTATGAGACTGTGCTGACAGAGCAGTTGGGATGGGAGGAGTAGGAGAGGGCCACTTGTCCTTTGTCCCCAAAGTTGTTTAGGTGCATCCAGGTTCTGAGAGGGGGAAACTAGCATTTGCAGGGGAGAGGTGATAGGGATGACATCTAGCCTGCAGCCTCAGAGTCCCTCCCCAGGAGCTCTTGGGCCCTTCTTGCTCCAGTACTGGGTTGGGCTTCCTCCCCAACAAAGATGGTCCTGGCTCTTCAGGGCCCCTCTTTCCCTCTGCAGAAGGAGCCAGGTCTCCAGTCGATGGGTCCTGAATTCAGCTCAGAATCTCAAAGCTAGTTTTTGTAAAACTCAAAATGCATCGGCAGTGGTCCTTCTGTGTCTTCAGGAAGCCCTCACCTATGGTGGCTTCCTGCTACTACTTGCCAGGCTTGCAGAACCCTTCTGTGGAGCTGTCTCTGCCCCACCCACCTCCACCCCCCACCCACCCCCACCCCCGCCAACATCCCCAGAGGGTCTATTCAGACTGAGCAAATGATGGTGCTTCTTTGGGGCCTTTGGAAGGCTCGCTGCTCTCTCCCTCCCCACTCTCGGGGAGTGGGGCCCACAGAGAAGGTTCGGTACTGGGCTCATCTTGGCTTCCTCTCCCTCTGTCATCCTCATTCCCCTTCATACATCCTCTCAGGTAGGTCCCAGCATCCTCTATGACAGAGCATCCCTGACTAGTGTTGTATGAAAGTCTCCTCATAACGGAAACACGCCCTCCAGGAGTGGTGTGTGTGTGTGTGTGTGTGTGTGTGTGTGTGTGTGTGTGTGTGTGTGTGTGTGTCAGGGGGTGGTCTCCGGAGGTAAATACAAGACACATGTTTGTAATAACAAAAACTTGAAAGGTTCCTAAGCCCCTCCCCAGCAGTATAACAAGGAGTCAAAAGTGCTGGGGGCGGGCACTCCCAGCAGCAGAGCTTCAGACTTTCTTGTTTGTTTGTTTGTTTGTTTGTTTGTTTGGAGACAGGGTTTCTCTGTGTAGCTTTGCACCTTTCCTGGAACTCACTTGGTAGCCCAGGCTGGCCTCGAACTCATAGAGATCCACCTGGCTCTGCCTCCCGAGTGCTGGGATTAAAGGCGTGCGCCACCACCGCCCGACTTGCAGACTTTCTTAGACTGTGGAGCTGTCCACAAGCTATGCGGAGAGCCCCAGGGCCACAGTGGCCACCCATGTTGGGGTGAGCTTTGGTGATACAGCTGCTGCTGAGTTATCCCTTCTAAGTAACCCCTCACCCACGCTCCTGTGAATAACCCCAATAAAAACCCCTTGGTTCACCCAAGTTGGACACCGGTGCAGTGGTTACTTTGGCGTGTCGTGGGGTTCCCTTTCTGGGGTGAGTAGTTGTGCGTGTCATGTCTTCTTCGGGAAAGTCTGCCACACAACACAAGAGAGGGCAACCAGCTGCCTTGGCCAAGACCAAGTCCAGGCAACACTGTCCTCTGCACGGCCATCTTGGCTGAAGGTCAGCGAAGGTAGGGGGTGGAACCCGGGGCAAGAGGGCAGACACAATTCTGAGAAAAGGCACTTTATTCCAGTGTGGTGGGAGGAAGGCACTCACAGCGATTCTAAACATTTTGTCAATTTCCATTACCTAAGAAGTGTGAACCCATAGCAGGCCACACCGGCCTCACTGAGGGGAGCTGGCTGAATGTGGCACGCAGAGGAGGAAACCTTGCACACTCAGGCCTTCCCACTCTTCCCCTGGGACACGCGGGTCTCCGGGGGTGCCCTGCGGAACCACTCCGACCAGGAGCCATCATAAACAGCCACATCAGGCTTGCCACAAAGGTAGGCAGCCAGGGCAATATGGCAGGCAGTGACCCCCTTGCGGCACGTGGCGATGAGGGGCTGTGAGAGATCCACCTTTTTATCCTGGAACATGGCACGCAGCTCCTCTGGGCTCTTCTCAAAGCCGTCTTTGGTCAGGAAGTTCATGAAGGGCATGTTGACTGAGCCACGGATGTGGCCCGAGTCCAGTCCTGAGTGTCAATAGAGGACATGGGTTAGGGGAGGTATGGGAGTGGGAACTAGAGGACCTACCCGCGGCCACCACCAATCAAAATAATGTCTTTGCTCTCTTAGGAACTCAGTTTCTTGCCTGCTCTATGTATTTTCAACATGCAAGCTGTAAGACCCAGACCTGCAGCCCCTGCCTGCCCCACGACCTATCTCGATGGAAGGATATCCCAAGTCACCTCTGCTTGAGTGGACATTTGCACACATCCTAATTTTTCCCTACCTTCTGCGGATTGCTGCTGCTCTCTACACCTCAGGTTTTCTCACCTGTGGAATGGGCTCGGTAGTGCGCATCTGTCTCCTGGGATTCACACAGAAGCTACACACTGTGTTGACTGCTGAGAACGTGGTGGTGAGGAACTATCCAGGCCCTCCTGGACAGCGGTTTGTGAGAGTGTATGGAAGCTGGCTGGCTTTGTGAGCCATTAAAGAGACTCGCCTGTAGACCTATTTTACAGGTGGAAACACTGAGGTGTGCTGACATGAAATAGCTCAGCTAAAGACACAAAGAAGGACAGGCAGACCCCAGGACCACACCCAGTCTTGATGTCACTGTGAGGCGCATAGTTGTGAAAAGAGAAGGGACCAGGTAGGTATCAGACACAGGTTCAGGTCCTAGCTCTGCCACTTTCTACATTGGTGACATTAAGTAAGTCCTGTCGGCTCTCTGCGCCTCAGTTTCCCTATGCAGAGTGAGTGCTCCTGGGTGAAAATAAAAGACATAAAGACAACTATTGGGCCGGGTGGTGGCGGCGGCAGCGGCGCACGCCTTTAATCCCAGCACTCGGGAGGCAGAGGCAGGTGCAACTCTGTGCATTTGAGGTCAACTTGATCTACAAATTGACTTCCAGGACAGTCAGGGCTGTTACACAGAGAAACCGTGTTTCAAAAAACAAACAAACAAAAAAGACAAATATTGAAACAAAAAGGACAAATATTGAACCCTAATGATGTCTTC